GGTAAATCTCCATCACCTGCGGGCTTTCACATTGAGCAGCATTAACTACACAGAGCCGTTGTTCACTGATGAGAAGCGCAAAAAATCGCGCGAATATGAACGTGGTTTAGCGCAGCTCGTCAGTGAACAACGGCTCTGTGTAGTTAATGCTGCTCAATGTGAAAGCCCGCAGGTGATGGAGATTTACCGCTGATTACAGAACCGGCTTTACTGATAAGATGCGCGTTAAATATCGCATGCGATTAATCGTGCAGCCCTACTTGTAAGGAACATTCTCCACTGGTTATGAGATTTCTTGTATATTTCCGATAATTTGTAGCTTGGATAAAATCCTTCTCTCCGAGTCTCTGTTTGTATATCTCATATGTGTAAGTGTGTGTTTGTACTGATGTTTTACTGTCACTAGGTGGCGACACTGAATAAGATTTGATCCAAAGTGGCTTCGAAAGCTCATTGAAAACCTGGAATTAAAACTGCATTTAGAAATGGAATTCAATGCAGAAATTTCATAAGTAACTATAGGTTATGCTCTTAAATATTTACCTTCCCAAAACCATATACCTGGTAAAAGTGTTTTTTAGTCTTAAGTCGCTGGGGTATATTTGTAGCAATAGCCAACAATACATTGTATGGGTCAAAATTATAAATTTTTCTGTTATGCCAAAAATCATTAGGATATTAAGTAAAGATCATGTCCCATGAAGATATTTTGTAAATTTCCTACCGTAAATATATCAAAACTTAATTTTTGATTAGTAATATGCATTGCTAAGAACTTAATTTGGACAACTTTAAAGATGATTTTCTCAATATTTTGATTTTTTGCACCCTCAGATTCCAGATTTTCAAATAGTTGCATCCCAGCGAAATATTGTCCTATCATAACAAAACTCTATTTCCAAAAATTGACCCTTATGACTGGTTTTGTGTTCCAGGGTCACATATACCATGTGAATATGATGGTCTTGCACCTGTGGTGTTTTTGATAAATGTAATGGTGTATGATAATTTAGAACATGCATTACCTTAGTAAATAAAGCCATAGTACTATTTAAGGGTCATGTGATGTTTGAAATGATTTTTTTTTAAATGTGTGAATGATTAAAGTCTCGGTCTTCTCATCATATCTTGTGTAATGTGTCTCGCTCCAGCTGTCAGTTCAGTGCAGCTGACGCGGCGGATCTGTTTTCCCGCGGGTTGAAGGATGTGAAAAGCGTGTGTAATTTTTCTCCCAGGAGCATGAAGTGATCAGAGGGATTCCAGGGAATGCTGTCGTCTCCTGTGGACGTGAAACAGGTCAAAACGCAGATGATAAGATTCCAGCGTGCAGGTATGTGCCCGGCCTAGTCTCAGAGCTCTGTGTTTATTCTCACGCGTGAATGAACATCAGGAGATTCCAGCGGCGCGTCGAGATGCTGCAGGAGTCTCAGGGTTTATAATGCGCTTCTTGTCCAGGACCTGAATTCAGATTTCAAATCTAATGTTAAGTATTCAAGTTTTAGTGTTTGTGCTCTTGAACGATTCATCAATGTGTGCTTATTTACGGTATTATTCTGTAGAAACCAAAAATCTTTTATTTTATTTTAAATTAATTTTTTAAATTTTAATTAATTTTTTTATATTTTAACTAATTGTTATTTTATGTTACCTGTTTTCATTTTAATTTTAGATAGAGAAAAACATTTTAAGTTTCCATAGAGAAAAAAAATATTAAATTTTACTTCTGGAAGAACTTCACTAGCCCTATATACTATACTATATATTTGTATTTGTGTGTGTGTGTGTGTGAGTGTGTGTGTGTGTGTGTGTGTGTTCGTTCATATTTTTGAAAGACGCACACATATGATTATTAATATTTTGAATTAGTTTTTATTTGTATATTGTCTGTTTTCATTTTAATATATTCATTTAACTTTCATTTTAATTAGTCGTTCATTTAGCTGTTTTTATTAGTTTAGTTTTTATTAAATGTTTACTTCGTTTTTATTTTGTGTTTTAGATTTAGTTATTTTAGATATTAGCTCAGTTATTTTTGTTTATATTAAATTAATCTAAATGAAAATGAGAAATGAAAAAGCTGAAATAAAAATACAATTGTTTTTTGTTTTTTAAAAAATATTACAATTTCAATTCAAGTTTTGTTGTTTAGTTTTATTTCGGTAAAATATGTTGAAATAAATGTTTTTTTACTGAAATATAAATGAAAACCATTTTTACCTAACATTTTTTAAAATTTATCTCAGATTTTGCATATATGTACAAAGGCACAGATCACTAAACAAGGCCATATCTGCAGATTCAACTTTTTTTTTTTTTTTTTTTTTTTTTGTTGAGACTGGTAGAAACGACCTAGAACACCTTAGCAACTGCATAGCAACGCCCTAGTAACCATCCAGAGCACCCCTAGCAACGCCCTAGGAACCACACAGCATTTTACCATCGCAAACCCCGCTTACATTTTCTTCTGAAGATGTAAACATCGAGTTATTCATTGAAGTGTCCTGCTCTGAACTTTCTAACGTGTTTTCTAGCTGTTGCGTTTGTCGTGCCGCCGGTGAATTTGCTGAGCTCTCGTGGAAATGTACAGCGATATTTGTGCGTTTAGTGAATGGTTGACCCTGTAAATGTGATTCACGAGCAGAGTATGAACAGCAACCACAAACATGGATCTAGTAAGCGTTTCCACAGAGCCTGACCTGAATTCCAGCGCATTTGCATCTTATGACTGGACTGGAGTTCGTGGAAAATCATGTCTGAATGACGAGTCTGTGCTCAGAGACATATGGCCTTCATACTAGGGCTGTCAAAATGACTGAAACCCTAAATTCGAATTTTCTACTTAAATATGAGCAAAATTCGAATTATATTCGAATTTTAAAGGCATAATTTCAGTTAGTGGGGAAAAAAGCTTTTGGCTTCTCTCCTGAGGCCACAAGTAAAGTTGCTTAAACAATTGGGGGAAAAAGCAGCACCATGCATGTATGTATAGTTTAATACAAAGGACCGAAAACCAATCACAAAGAGTAGGCTACTTTCTTCATTTAAAAACATGAGATACAGTGGGATGGGGGAAAACCGCCATAAAGTCTTGAGACATGTTTTTTAAAAGTTGAACTTACATTAATTTGACATGGCTTTCTAAACATGCCGCTCTCTTGTGCGAGATGCGAGTGCAACGTTGATAGATGTCCCTCTAGGAAATGTGATAAATATGCGTTCTGTGTGAACGGCTTGGTTTCAGTTTTGACGTAAACAACATCTTCGCCACACTGATGCTCTCGTTTTCCGCAATATATTGAATGAACAATGTAGCAGCGCCGCATCTAGTGGCTTCAACTGGATAGATTAACAAAAGCATTCAAATGCAATGACACTTACATTGTCGTCGCATTTCGTGCGCCACTGATAGGCTGATGCAGACCTAAAAGTTTTTGCATTCGAATGTGGATTTTTTTTTTCATTCGACGAATATTCGAAATTCGAATTTTTTTTTTGACAGCCCTAATACATACATATTCAGATCTGAGGTTTCTGTGGCGTTTGTGTGTTATGAATGGGCTCGGCTGACAGTATGTGTATTGATTTAAGGCAGAGCGGTCGTCATGGCGATTGTTCGGACTGTCCGTTACTATAGCGATGAGAAACCGGAAGCTGTGACCTTCAGTGGGATGCTAGGCTGCGGGAAAGTACATACTCGTGCTTTAGTAGCCTATCTAGTGAGACCGAATGTCAGTATAGAGCAAAAACCCATAGATGAACTGATTTTTCATAACACACCTGCCATGAGCGCTGAAGTTGTTGATATATTTATTCTGTAGAACCAAGAACTCAGTGTAAATAGTAGGCTATTTTATTTATTTATTTGTTTACATATTTATTTATTTTTTACGAAAGCCCATGTTTGCAATAAGCTCATATTTACATATAGTGTATATATTTGTTTGTGTTTTAGATTATTATTTTTATATATTATTCATATAAATAAATTACAATATAATTAATATATTATTACTATAAATAATATAAGTCATTAAACATATATTAACAACTTTAACAAGAATCTCAATGCTACGAGTTTATATATATATATATATACACATAACGTGTTTCTATATTTTGCAGTTACTAATTACAGATATTAAAATTACATAATTAAATGTGTGTATATATAATAATAATTCAATTAGTGCAAAAAAATTAAATTTTATATATATTTATTTTATTTTTATATACTGTATATACAGTCAAACCCAAATGTATTCAGACACCTTCAACGTTTCTCACATTATCACAGTTTATTCACTATAGTTTAGAAAATGGTAATACAATATGACAAGAACTCAGAGT